TGCTCCAGACCCTTCACCAGCCTTGTTGCCCTTCTCTGAACACGCTCCAGCACCTCAATGTCTTTCTTGTATTGAGGGGCCCAAAACTGGACACAGTATTCCAGGTGCGGCCTCACCAGTGCCGAGTACAGGGGGAGAATCACTTCCCTGTTCCTGCTGGCCACACTATTCCTGATACAGGCCAGGAGTCCTTGAGAGGATGGGTACAGGCGGCACCCGGGGCTCGATGCTGCCTGAGCCACCTGACCGTGGTGCGCTGCTGAGCTCCGTCCCCCAAGGGGTGGGGCGGAAGGGCACAAAGGTCGGCGCTTGCAGGCAGCAGGCGAGCAGAAAGCCTTGCAAGGGCCGCCGACCGCCGTGGGACATCAAAGTACAGCGCCCAGGACTCTGGTGCTGAAGCCCTGGGGAAAAAAGCAGGGCCCGAGCACAGCCCAGTGGGCTTCTCGCTGGTGGTTCTAACTAAGGCACTTGAGAGCCCCGCTCCGAGGGGTGAGGCCGTAAAGGCTTCAGCACTGAGAGCGCACTGCAGACCATTTGACCACCACCGAGAGAGATGCCTCTCCCACTGTCAGAGAAAAGACCACAAGGGTTACCTTCCTCTGTCGTCATCCTAACAACCTTAATCACAAGCACACATTAGAGAGGGAGAGCATGTACTTCATCAGTACTTTTATGTGTGAACCAGACACAGCCACTGGTACTATACAGTTATTCAAACACCGAATATACTGAAGCACCTCTTCAAAAAAATCTTATTGTATGGCTACCAGTACAGGGTCCCAAGATGCCACAGCAACTGTTTTGATGCAGTTTATTACCTTGGAAATTGTCAGACAAAGTCCATCCAGCATCTTACCTTTGCTGGCACTGATAAAGGACTGATCACTTCCATTGTATTAGCCCTGACTTTTTATATGGCAAGGAGACCAAGCTCAGACTGTCCTACAACCAGCAGCTGCTTTTATCAGATGAAAAGCTCTGTTTGCTTTGACAATGTTTCTAAAGCACTACTGTCCTGGTTCTGGCTGGGATAGAGCTAATGTTCCTCCTAGTAGTATGATTTAGTATGAGGATAATGCTAGCAAGACACTGACATTTTAGTTGTTGCTAAGGAGCACTTACACTAATTCAAGGACTTTTCAGCTTCCCATGCTCTGCCAGGTGCATAAGAAGCTGTGAGGGGGCACAGCCAAGGCAGCAGACCCAAACTGCTCAAAGGGCTATTCCATACCATATGACATCATGCTCAGTATATAAACTGGGGGGTGTGGGCTGGCAGGCAGTGATTGCTGCTCAGGGACGGGGTGGGCATTGGTCAGCAGCTGGTGAGCAGTTGCATTACTTCTCTTCCTTAGGTTTTGTTTCTCTCTTTTTGTTGTTTTCATTACAATTAATTATTATTATATTGCAATCATTAAACCATTCTTATCTCAACCCACAAGTTTTATCTTTTGCTCTTCTGATTCTCTCCCCCTTCCCACGGGGAGGGGTGGGGGGGGGGCGAGCAAGCAGCTGTGTAGTGCTCAGTTGCCAGCTGGGGTTAAAGCACAACACCTACACAGAGTACAGACCAGCTTCCCAGAAAAAAAACAGGATGCAAGACAGGAAGTGCAGGCTAAATCCCCAGACTAAAAAGTCTGCGGCAGAAAGGTAAACTGGTACCACCAAAGTAAATCAAGCAAGCAAAAATATCTCTATGAAATATTAAGTACTACTTAACACCTTAAAACAAGTTTATACCAAGTCATCATTGAATAGCCCAAGTTGGAAGGGACCCACAAGGATCAATTCAACTCCTGGCTCCACACAGGGCAACCTTAAAGTTAAACCATATCTCCAAGAGCATTGTCCAAACACTCCTTGAACATTGACAGGCTTGGGGTCATGACCACTTTCCCCAGGGAGCTTGTTCCAGTGCTTGACCACACACTCAGTGAATAACTTTTTCCTAATATCCAATCTGAACTTCCCCTGACACAGCATTAAGCCATTCCCTTGCATCCTATCACCAGGCACCTCATGACAAGTACAATGGCAAATAGTCATCGCAGAATAATTAATCCCATTATGACCTACATCAACTATAGAGTCCCATAATTAGAGCATGTTGGACACTAGCCTGAGTATTACCTATCACTGCCAGTTTCTTTTCAGGTTGCCTGCAGTTTCCAATTCAAATCCAGGTTAGGAACTTTGGCCCATAGCACAAAGGAATTCTTGCAGAGAAACAAAACAGGTTCACCAAGTTAGTTTTTTTCTGAAGTAGGTACTCTTAACATGTTAGACAGTGAATATTTGTTGTCTGGTGAATAAGAACTGTAGACAGGTTTTATAGATCATTTAAAAACAGTTTATTTCTTTCTTATTACTACTAAGCAGATGAGCCATTGGATTTGAACATGCTACACTTCAGCAGAAAAGCCAAGTGTAAAAGTTATTGAACATGGGTGACAAGTGATCATCTAGTCAGAACATGGAATAAAGATTCGCTGAACAGTCAGATAGGCACTTACATTAAAAGAAGGTAACTTCATCACTCTTTGAACACCATAGCAGCCTACTTAGAATTGCATTTGACTGAGCTTTGTTGCTGTGAATAATACAGCTCATGCACAGGTATGGATGTATGTTTTGTACATTTTAAAGTATTCACTGAATACTACCAACATATATACACTGATATACATAGTTCCAGTAGATTTAGGATGTTTATAGACAATGGTTCATTTCTGCTCATCCTTTGGAAGAGGTCTTCTGAAGAGAAGAATATGTGGTTCTGTGGAAATAAAATTGAACAAAGGGTCAGTCTGTCACCTAAGTCTTGGTTACAGGGACTTCTTCCATTTAAGAGGTCTTGAGCAACAGTTGAAGCTTGCTGTCAAATAATAAACAGATAAGTAAAGTCCACAAATACAGACCCACATTGAGTAACTTTGCAATAACCTTAAAACCATGAAACAGGGTGCTTTTGAAGGTTTTATACCAAATGTTGGCAGTATCATAAACATAAGATACATACAGGAAGGAAGTACTGGGAAAAAATACAGAGTATTTTTAGTTAGCGTTGGTACTAACTCTGTCTCTCTACATTGGGCTATTTGATGACCTTTGGTACTGTAACTTTGACTAACAAACTGCTGATGCTGTCCTTGTCAGGTACATAGCATAAAGCATCAACAAAAGCCACTTTAGTTAATACAGCCAGCTTACATTATTATTGATCTGACTTAATTGTTAAACTCCTCCAAAAAAGCCCAAGTATCACAGGTGCCCAGGTAAGGGAAACACTGGAAGGTTATATTAACTTCTTCACCTGGTTCTTTAGAAACTTACACCTCCATGCTGCTGCAATTCATCTATCACCAGTTACTTTTTAGTCAGGCTTCTCAGTGGTAAGTTATCTTGAATAGCTGTTTTCAGTACATCCTAGTTGGTAAGAGTTTTACAGTTTCATACCCCATTAAGGGAAAGACTGGTTTTAAGTGATGCTTTTAGTAGGCTGTATAACTAGAGTTCGAACTATACTGTAGACTATTCAGAGCATTAATACAGAACCTTCTCTATACAAGCATCTATTAAGTTTTTGAACAAAGAGTAGGTGTCAGCTTTATGATTTACAGATACGCTGCTACATAAAGTTTGGTTCAGTCACAGAGATACTAACATTATTCAAAAGCTCCCAAGAAGCCTATTTCTATAGACACAGGTAGGAACAGTTTCCAGTCTGGCATGTTTTATCTACTGATAGACCGCACATACCTAGGACAAGGCTAGCATTTTGCAGTTCTGGGAGCAAGACGCGAAGGTTTAAGATAGAGGCTGTTATGTTGCCAAATGGCTAAAATAGCAAGGAGATGAAGACAAGTCTAAACATTCAGTAGTGAATTCCATCTATATTCCACAGCAGGAGCAATTATGCACTACACACTTCAACTGAGCACCAGGCAGTTGATATTTTAGACTCTTTGTTCATCTAATTCTGTTCAGATGTGCTTACCTGGCTCATGGATCATATAGTGAACCCAACCAAGACTTTGCTGAACACCAAGTCGTCTCCACTCCTCTTCAGACATTAGATGGGATTTGGGCACTTGTTTTGAAAGTTCTCTTGGCAGCATCACATGTCTGTAGAGATTTAATTATTAAACACACACTACATAAACAAATGCCTGTGTACACTAGAAAACTTGCACAGATCTACACTGAAGGACAGTAAGCAAGTTCAGTTATGAATACCAGCATTCCCTATAAAGAAGCCCAGGGTGCTGACTGATACCACTAGTTTGATTATGAAGCAACCTGTCCCAGAATCTAGTTTTAAATTCACTTTGTCTACTAAACGTTACATGTAAGGCAACTGTATATTGAAACAGTCAACCTATTTCCTGGAAGAGATTAATTCCCCTGCATACTCCAATCACACTACATGTATAGAAGTATGTGTTCTCAGCAATTGGCCTTCATACCAGCTATTTGAAAAATAAGGACTTTGTACTTTTAGAATGATCAATAAGGTTGCTCGTTTGTATTTTGCGTTTTGTAACTGATAATGTATTTTCCACAGAGACTACAGCACTGGTTTAGAAAGACAGAACACTAACACCAATTAAGAGCCTGGTATGTCAGCTGCAGGGAAACATACAGCCTGCTCTCCTCATTGGCAAGTTTCTTAATCACTTAATAGAAAGCAAAGCATTCAATCTTGCTTTTGAGATCTTAAGACACCGAGGCAAAGGGCTCCAGAGCAGAGGATTGTGCTGGGGGGACCCTTCATAAGGCAGCAAAAGCACAGGGAGAGAGAAAAGGCACCCCAGCCCTGCCCCCGCAGCAGGACAGAGTGAGCTGCTGACAAGCAGCAGCTCTGACTCGGCGTGGGCAGGGACAGGAGTGACAGTGGCCAAACCCCCTCATGTACAAAAGCAGCCCTCAGGGAGCGCAGCGAACAGGACAAACAGGGTATGGCACTGTCAGAAGGGCATGGCACGTCAGTTTCCACAGGGAAGGCGAAGTCTCTCTCCTAGCTCAAAAGGTAGGTTCAGAAAGTTCAGCTGGTGACAAGTAGCCTAACCATGGCCATGGTATCCACCCGGCGGAAGGCTATATCCTCTGCACTAGCCAGAACAATGCAGCAACCCAGACTGAACTCCCAGGACTACACACAGCCATCCAGGTCTCCGGCTGCAGGGAGTGCCACCACCTTGCACTGGGAACAGATGGCAGTAGAGGGAGCAGCTGCTTATGGTGTTGATGAGGTGGACTATCTACGAGGCATTGTGGAAGAGCTAAGAGAAGTAAGATAGGCTATGGAGCATCAGGGAGTCTGAGCAAGAGATAGACAGGTAAACGGGCCGTATTTGGGACAACAGTTTTGGTGACCCAGATGGGACCGCACTGAAAAACCTTGCCTGGACCAACTTGCTGCAGCCAGCAGGGAGTACTGGACCGACTGGACTCCAGCATGCACCAATAGTTTTTCAGGAACTCTGTCGGTTCATCTCCTTGTTGTTGGTAAGCGACACAAAGGTGAAATGCTAAATCGAGATATTGTGAAAAAAGGGAAAAATCTGATAGAGGAGCAAGCTGAATTCTGGTATTCTGAATCCGAGTCTGAATACCTCTGCGTAAGTCGCTCCATGAAAGGACTGCTGCAGTAGGATACTTCTTAGACACAGACGCTAATTGCGGCTGAGTGTTTGAAGTGCTGGATAAAGTAATTTCCTAGGAAATAATATTTATCTGGCTCCTCTACAGAAGTGTCCGTTGTTCTCCTTTAGGATGCATCTCCTGAAAAGTTGGGGAAGATTTGGTGGGGATCCACTGACCAAAGAAAAATTTAGAAAGTATTGTAGTCAGTGGCAGCAAATGTATAAATTAGAGGATAGAGAGAAATGGCCTGAAAATGGAACATTAAATTATAATACTATTTCATAGTTAATGTTGTTTTCCAGAAGGATGGATAAGTGAGATGAAATTCCATATGTTGATTTATTTTTTGCATTGCGAAATGATCATGATACTAGGAGGAAACGTAAATTAATAGATTATGCAAATAGTATTCTTATGTTAGCTGAGAGCATACAGAAAAAACGTAGGCAAAGGTAGTGTTCTGCCTGTGATATCAGGAGGGGGTGCCAGAGGAAAATAATGAGGAAAATGAAAGGCAAAATGCGAGGGATGACCTAGCACGATTTATGCTAAAAGGGGAGCCAGATGGGGACTGCAATACTGGTGTGGGAAGAGCAATGATTAAACAATATCACAGCAACTGATTTTGTATAGGATACAACATGGGGTTCCTAAACAAAAGAATCTTTCAAAGTTATATGGAATAAAGTAAGAAAGTGATGAGAATCCCTCAGCCTTTTATGAAAGGCTATGTGAGGCTGCTAAGAAATAGATTTAAATCCTGGTGAAGATAGTAATAGGATGATATGTAGTATGTTGTTTATTGGCCAATCAGCACCAGATATTTGGAAAAAGTTACAGAAAGTGGATGGTGAGATGACTATTGCTCAGTTAATAAGTATTGCCTATAAGGTGTATAAAAAAAAGGTGTATCAAAGAGGAGGAGGCAAGAGTTACATATGGACAGTAAACAGAGGGAAAGGTCATGGATATATGCCTCTGCCTTGACCTATGACTAATAACCCTGTTGGGATCAATCAATGTGCATATTGCAGAGAGGAAGGACACTGGAATAGATTGTCCAAAAAGAAAGGGAGTACAAATACCAGCAAAGGGGGGTCAGGTGCCAGAAGCAGTTTTATTGATGATGGGAACTTATGATTCTGAATGAAGGGGACCAGAGGTAAACTTGACTATTTCCCCAGCAGATCCCCTGGTTCCAGTACAGCTGGGGAATGAAATGATGGAATTTTTAGTTGATACCGGAGCCACTTATTCTGTAGTAAATAGTTGTAAGGGGCCTTTAAGCAAGTTCTCTATGCCTGTTGTTGGGAGTCACAGGAAAGAGAGAAATGAGACCCTTTTTACAACCAATGGAATATAAAATTGGAGATCAAATTTTAACACATGAATTTCTGTATATGCCTGAATACCTGATGCCTCTCTTAGGTCGAGACTTATTGAATGAATTGGGGGCACAAATAACTTTTTCTAAAAATACAATTTAAATAAACATCCCAAAGAATAATGCTTGGAAAGCTCAGTTATGTCTATTACAGAATGAAAATGAGAAAGAGATTGAAGGACCAGAAGAAATTTTGGATGCTGTTATTCTTACAGTATGGGCCACAAAAACACCTTGGAAGGGCCAAGTCAGCTATACCGATAAAAGTGGAACTGAAACCCAACCCTAAACTGGTAAGAAGGAAACAATACCCCATGAAATTAGAAGCAAGATTGGGCTTAGAATCATTAATATACAATTTCTTGCAACATGGATTTTTGCAAGAATATAATACAATCAGAATATAATACTCCAATATTACCAGTAAAAAACCCTTGATCGCAAGAATATCGGCTAGTACAGGATCTAAGGGCAATTAATGCAGTTGTACCTGATGTGCATCTGGTGGTACCCAATCCATACACTTATCCTCCATCTCAGAAACTAACATATTTTACTGTGTTAGATTTAAAGGATGCTTTCTTTTGTATTCCATCAGAGACTGAAAGCCAGAAGTTATTTGCTTTTGAATGGGAGAGTCCAACGACAGGATGGAAGACAACTTTGCTGGACTGTACTGCCGCAAGGAGTCAAAAACAACCTGACTTTGTTTGGTAATGTACTTGCCAAGGAATTAGAACAATGGCAAGGTAAGGATCCTTACGTTACTCTTTGCAATATGCAGATGACATACTTCTGGGAACAGATACTGAACTACAATCTAAAACGGCAACCATCAGTTTATTAAATTTTTGGGGATTGACTGGATACCAGGTGTCACAAAAGAAAGCACAGATAGTGCAAAAGACTGTCACTTATTTGGGATTCAAAATCTCTCAAGGGGAAAGGAAATGCGGAACTGAAAGAAAGAAGCCTGTATGTCAAACTGCCCCTCCCCAGCCAAAAAGAGAACTAAGAGGATTTTGGGTATGGCAGGCTGGTGCAGACTTTGCATACCCAATTTTGGACTGATGACAAAACAGTTGTATGAGGCTTTGAAAGGGTCAGGAGAAGCTTTGCAATGGACCCCCAAATATTGAAAGGGTTTTGATGATATTAAGATGGCTTTGATGAAAGCGCCAGCCCTGGGATTGCCAAATTTGACTGAACCATTTACTTTGTATGTGTATGAAAGAATGCATGTGGCCCTGGGAATCTTAACTCAAACACCAGCAGACTGGAAGAGGCCAGTTGCTTACTTCTCTAAACAGCTAGATGAGGTTAGCAAAGGATGGCCTGCATGTCTTTGAGCAGCAGCGGCTGCAGTCTTGTTGATTCAAGAGGCCCATAGACTAACCCTGGGACAAAGAATCACTGTGTTTGTCCCGCACGCAGTGTTAACTGCCTGGGAGCAGAAAGGACATAATTGGTTATCTCCCAGCAGAATGGTACACTATCAGGCTGTGTTGATTGAACAGGACAATGTGACGCTAGACTTCTACAGCTTTGAATCCTGCAACATTGATGCCCATTTCTAATGATGACAATTTAACCCATGATTGTTTACAGACTATTGAACAGGTATATTCCAGTAGGTCAGATCCAAAGGATACTCCCTTTGAAAAGTCCAGACTGGATTTTGTTTGCAGATGGCAGAAGTTTTGTCCTGAAAGGAGAATAAAAAGCCAGATATACAGTAGTGACTTTAGAAGAGGAGGTGGAGGCTAACCCACTTCCAGCAAATATGTCTGCACAGAAAGCAGACTTGATTGCTCTCATTAGAGCATTGGAACTGTCCCAAGGAAAGCGAGTGAATGTTTATACTGTTTCTAAATATGCTTTTGGGGTAGTTCACGCTCATGGAGTGATACGGAAGAACGTGGGTTGTCATCCTCTCAAGGAACTCCGGTAAAGTACAGAACTGAGATTTTAAGGTTGATAACAGCAGTCAATTTGCCTAAGGAAGTGGCAGTCATCTACTATAAAGCACATGAATCAGGACAAACTGATGTGATTACAGGAAACTGCAAGGCTGATGAAGTAGTGAGAAGAGTATCCTTTACTAAAGTACTGGGTGCTTTAATCCCCACCATGAATTTGAAAATGCATGTTCCTAGGTATACAGAAAAAGAAGGTAAGTTAGCTAAGTTTTGGAATTGTAGTAAAACACAGGGTGGATGGTGGGTAATACCAAATGGACAATGTATAGGTACAGCCCCAATTATGAGAGAATTATTGCAATGAACTCGGAGACACCCAGATGGGAGCAGATACATTAGTCTCAAGCATTAAAAGGTATGCAGTTGGACCCAGAACTCAACAATATGCAAAAGGACTTGTTAAACAGTGACAAATTTGTTGCAGAAACAATCCTAAAATAGAAAAGAAGCTTCCACCTGGAGAGGTAAACCAGGGATATCTCCCTGGGGAACACTGGCAAATTGATTTTTCTGAATTACCTAAAAGTAATGGATATAAGTATCTTTCAGTATTGGTAGATACTTTTTCAGGGTGGCCTGAAGCCTTCCCAAGCTAACAACAAAGCTAGGTAAGTGAATAAAAACTTGTTGAAGGAAATAATACCAAGAT